AGGGAGAAAGGAGGAGGAGTGTGGCGGAGGGAGCAGGCGATCGTGCAGGGGAAAGGCACAGGAGCAGCAGGAGTGGGCAGCTGGAGCAGGGACGACGTACCTCGCGGAAGTAGGGGAAGAGGGGCTCATAGCGCGAGCCGACCAGCTCCTCACCGAGGAACTCCTCGCCGACGGTGTACTCGTCGAGCTTGTTGCCAAAGACCGACCCGAGACAGGAGTGCGCCACGATGTAGGACTTGGGAGCCTCAGGCTCCTGGCCCTCAACGGTCTTACCCTTCTTCTCTGTGGGATGGGAGATAGAGAGAAAGGAGGCGAGGAGGTCAGACACAGGGACACAGAGGGGGGCCTTGGCAGGGAGGAAGGGAAAGGGCACGATAGCAGGCGTACCGGTCACCACGACATAGTTGAGCGCCGGGTTGACGCAAAGGGCCAGGTTGCTAGGCAGAGTCCAGGGGGTGGTGGTCCAGGCAAGGGCCTGGTGCCCGGCGAACTTGCCGGTGGTCAGGCGCAGGCCGACCGTGACGGCCGGGTCCACGGTATCCTTGTAGTTCTGGTTGGCCTCGAAGTTGGACAGGGGAGTGTGGCAGCCCATGGAGTAAGGCATGACCTGCATTGGGGCATGGGCGCACGTGCGTATTGGCGTGTGCGTGTGTGTATGGCCGCTTGTCAGGGCACACGGCGCGAGAAGGGCAGAGGGAGAAAGGGAGGAAGAGAAGCCCAGCAGGGCCACATCCCGAAGCCGGAAGACCGGGAACCACGGGCGCGCACCTTGAAGCCGCGGTAGACCAGGTTCTTGTCGAACAGCTGGCGGAACACCCACCAGACGGACTCCATGAACTCCGGGTTCAGAGTCTTGTAGTCATTCTTGAAGTCAATCCAGCGCCCGGTACGGGTGACAGTCACCTCCCACTCGGTGGAGTAGCGCATGACAATGGACCGGCACTCGGCATTGTAGTTGGCAATGCCCATCTTGAGGACGTCATCGGGGGACTGGAGAAGGAGAAGTCAGACAAGCGAACACATGTGCATGTGTGTGTATGTGTGTGTGCGTGTGTGTGTGTGCGTGTGCGCGCGTGCGGGAGAGGGGGGAGGAAGGGGGGAAAGTAAGCAAAAACGACGGACCTTGATGCCGAGCTTCTTGTCGATCTCAAACTCCACCGGCAGACCGTGGCAATCCCAGCCGAAGCGGCGCTCGACATAGTAGCCGCGCAGGGCCCAGAAGCGAGTGACCACATCCTACGAGGGAGAGGCGCGGCCAATGGAGGGAACAGGGGCGCGGGGGGGGGGGGGGTAGGGAAGTAGGGAGCCAAGAGGAGGGTCAGTCAAGGGGAAGATCAGTCGAGGAGGGGCCGGGCAAGAGGGCCGGTCGCGCACCTTGATGGTGCCGGCCAGGATATGGCCATAGTGAGGCAGGCCAGTGGCAAAGGGAGGGCCATCGTAGAAGGAATAGCGCGGGCGACCCTCACTCAGGCGCAGGGACTGCTGGAAGGCATCGATCTGCTTCCAGAAGGCCAGGATCTCCTCCTCGGACTTGGGGAAGGAGATGGACTCGGGAACTGGAGCAAAGGAGGTTAGACACAAGCTGAAAAGGGCAGAGACAGGCGGATGGAGAAAGGCCGGCAGGGAAGGACACACACCATTGTCGAAGGTCATGGTGGAGGAGGGGCGTGACGATGGTGGCTACGCGGGAGATGCGACAGCGGGATCGGCACGGGGGTCACCGTGAACAGGGAACAAG